TTCCTTCCTTCCTTCCTTCCTTCCTTCCTTCCTTCCTCCCATCCTCCATCCCTCTCTCCCTCCCTCCCTTCCTTTGCAGTTGGAAACACCATAGAAAGTTTCTCTTCTGTGGCATCACTTTCTGTAAACTTATATCCTATGGGGAATTAAATGCCATGGAACAATGAAGCACAGTGGAATTGGAAGATGAGAAGAGTGAAAAAATGTTTTTGGCAAAAAGAGAAACTGGCATTTTGAAAAGGCTGGCATTTGAAGTGGAAATGTTTTGAGTCTCCTTTTTGCACTAGAAATGTATATCTTAGAATTCAGCAAATAAGAATCAGAATACCACTTTTAGTATACTTTATGCCTATTTCTTCTCACTTTTATATTTTGATAAAATTCATGCAATGTAATGTACAAGAAATGCTTGGATAGGCCAGTCAGAAATACACAACCTTTGGGCGACAAAGCACACTCAACATTTTTGAATAGGACTGGAGTTTGGTGTAGATTATCAAGTTTTGTTTTGTTTTTTTAACCTCAAAGTGACACAGATGAGCTTTTATTTTTCAGCAACCATGTATGGAAAAGGCTCCAAGGACTGCAAAAGAGAGAGCTGTACACACAAAAATACTGATTTATTAATATGTTAACTAAAAGCAGGCCAGCCAGTTTATGGTTTAGTATTTTGTATGCATCAGGCCATTTTTTAGTTCATCTACAAAAATATTAGGAAAAAAATCCTTTTAAAGAAGGTTGATAGTCTAGTACAGAAGTATGCAGTATTTTGATCCAAAGTGGGCAAAACAGCTTTCAATGTGTCATTCACTCCTTAGCTTTACCTGTTAGAAACAACTGCAATGAGATGCTTCTACTGTGCAGATTCAAGAAAATGTTTGATTAAGTCAAAATGACGTTATGGTTGAGATGACTCATACAGCAGCACTGCATTACTTTGGTCTCTCCGTTTTCATTTGGAAAGAAAGAGTTTGCCCATGTGGATCAAGAACTCACAGTGTTTATGGAGATACTTCCTGAATATTAAGGGCTCACTCCTCAAAAAGTTACTATAACTTAGGAAAAAGAAAAAGACAAGAGCAGGATGAAAGTTAATATTTGGTTAATTAAATACAGTAAATCAGATAAACATAGTTAATGTGACAAATGTCAAACTAAGAATTAATATTTTATGGCAATTTGGAAAGATCTGAAGTCCACAGACTGCCATATGGAGATACAAATAGCATAGCCCTCATTATGATGAATTAAGTGTAACTTAGTGCAGAACATCTTTGTTATTAATGACTGAGAGAAAATGAAATGCTGGGAAACCAGGCAGAATAATGGGAAAATGAATATTCTGGAGGTATGATATGTTACCAAGATCAATTATCCCAAAGGTGCTTTTTCAAGAGGCAACTGGACTTTCTGGCTTTTCTTTGAAGACATTTCGCTTCTCAACCAAGAAGTTTTTTAGCTCTGACAAGATGGTGGGGAATGAAAGGATTTATACTCCTTGCAGACAGTTGGTCATTTGCATTCTTTTAGCAAGTTGTTAAGGTCACCTGGATGTTTATCTGTGTCCTCAAGGTCACCTGGGTAGTGCAAATGGGTGTGGAGGCTCCTTGGAACTGTTGAAAGGACTGTGTTGTAGACTGGAGATAGATGATGTCGTATCCCTCCCTCTCTGTTGAGAGAGGCTGTTCAATGTTGTTGTAGATCGCCTCTTTAACCTCTCTTTCAAGGCCTCAATAACTCAATGTGGCCTCAATAACTCTCTAAAAGAATGCAAATGACCAGCTGTCTGCAAGGAGTATAAATTCTTCCATTCTCCACCATCCAGTCAAAGCTGAAGAAGCTTCTTGATGAGAAGTGAAATGTCTTCAAAGAAATACCAAGTTGCCTCTTGAAAAAGCATCTTTGTGACAATTATGACTATGAGAATCTCCATAGACAAGATCAATCATATTTTAGTCACCATTTAAAGATAGAAAAACACAATACCTTTTCCCATATAAAGTTCATCTAGTGACTGTTCGAAGGTACAATGCCACTGAAAAAAGTGACTTATGACTATTTTTCATACTTAGAATCATTGCAGCATCCCCATAGTCATGTGATTAAAATTCAGAAGCTTGGCAATTGACTCATATTTATGATGGTTATAGTATTCTGAGGTCATGTGATCACCTTTTTTGACTTTCAGACAAGCAAAGTCAGGAAAGCTAAATTCACTTAACAACCATGTTACTAACTTAACAATGGCAGTGATTCATTTAACAACTGTGGCAAGAATGGTCGTACAATGAGGCACAATTCTTTTAACAACCATCTCATTTAGCAATAGAAATGTTGAGCTCCATTGCTGTTGTAAGTTGAAGATTACCTATACTTCATAGCTCAAAACTAAATATAGAATTGATGTCAAATTAAAAAAGAACAATTGATTGGGTAGTTTAGTTTCTAGTTTGTTGGCTCAAAATTTCTTTTTGATGCTTCTTTTAGGTGCCCTATAACATAATTGGTTGGCTTGAGAAAAATAAAGACCCTCTCAATGAAACTGTGGTGGGTATTTTTCAGAAATCTTCCAACAAACTTCTGTCCAGTCTATTTGAAAATTATGTCAGTTCTGACAGTGGTAAGTGGAATAACCATATATTTTATTTTTTACATCACATATTAGAAAATGTGGCTAATAAATGTATTAGCTTATGATCATGGAATATTTGACAGTGGAAAATATTAGATACATAAACATTTCTCTGGGGAGCAGAGTAAGAATAATTCAAATTGTTGGTACCTCATTAAGTCTGTTTGCTGGCTCTGATTGAATGATAATTATTAAGCAGATATTAAAGGGTGCTTTATATATAAAGATACATTTCACAACTAAATATTGCCTATTAGAACTGGAGTAGAAGCAGTAGTTTGGAATTATAAGGAAGAAAATTCAGAGAGATGTTTCCTTAATGTATGTACTGTCAGCTAATGGAGTAGGCTTTCAATGATTGGCAAGTTCTCCTTTATGATAATCTTCAAATAAATAAAGAGATGCTCTAGTAGATGCTACTATGTGGAGCAGGAGATTGGACACAATGGCTTCTATGGTTTCCTGTATTTTTATACTATTTGTGCTACTCAGAGATTATATTATTTTATAATTTTTGAGTAGCACAGGCATTTGTAAATCAGCTATATTATAAGGTATACATATGAGGAAGCTAAGATAATCAATAGTTTTGATCAATAAAGGAGAATATTTGTAGCTCAGGGTTGAAATGAGGGGTTTGCTTACCTCACTCCTCTCTAGCACTAATGATGTTACCTAGTTTGGGTAATAAAATGTTTGCAAGAAAACAAACAATCTTAGAGAGCATTAAGGACACATATACATATAGTTTTGAAGAATGAACATTCTTCAAAATGTAAATTCATATTTCAAGAACGCAAAATAATCCATACAGAAGGGATGTTTTATAGTTCAGAGGTATAAATCCTGTAGGTGTACTGTAGATATGCATTGTTGCAAACAAATTGGATGCAGGCCAATATATTTAGTAACACAGAAATTGCACACACACACATACACACACACACACATATTATCTTTATCTATCTATCTACCTATCATCTGTCTGTCTATCTATCTATCTATCTATCTATCTATCTATCTATCTATCTATCTTATCTACACACATTTGAATACACAGCTACATCTGTTTAATTTTGCCTTAGAGTAATCTTGAAGTCAGCCCTTATGTTTGATAAACCATGGTTTATGGCTGAGTATAATGGATAACAATAGCTATTGTGGCTCCTTTAACCAATCATGATTAAACTAACCATGACTTAGTGTCACAACTCATATACAGTAGTTTATGTATGAGTCAAACAAGTGAAAGCAAATTGTGCCTCATTTTTTAGAACTGCATACAATTATTGTACATGGGTCATTAGTTGATAATGGTTGTGTATATTATGAATTTTAAGGGGCATTATAGGAATTCATTCTCAGTGGACACTAGCTATATGTTTCTAATAAAACAAAAGTAAGACAGTTTATACACAGACGCTCATAAATAAGTTAAATAAGGATGTGCCTTTAGTTATAAAAACATCTTTTGTTCTAAAATATTGTACATTTGATAAATAAAGAACAAAGTTAACTACTTTACAAATCTTTTGTTATGGAGATTGATTATTTAGTAGTTATTTGTAGAAACCAAATATCCACATATTACACATTTTTACATCACAATTTCTCAAAACTAAAATGACATCACTTACACCAATTAACCATATGATCAGCATAATTCCAATTAGGCATTGTCTATACCAATTTCACTGAGGGTTACATCAGGTTTGTTTTGACCTTGGGGGCCCAGGATGGGCATGGCCAGAGTAGGTGTGGCCAGCTTGATGTCACTCGTGTTGAGGTGCCTGTGGTGGCCCAAGTGCTCTGCCAGCAAAAATGGGCTCCCAAGCTCCATTTTTGGCTGCGACAGCCTCCTGTAACCCTCTGCCAGCATAAACAGAACCTGGGAGGGCCTCCCACGGCCCTCGCATGCTCTGTTTTCAGCTGAAATGGCCTCCTGCAATCTTCTGCCAGTGAAAATGGAGCTCAGGACGGCTGAGGGAGGTCCTCTTGAGCTCCATTTTCATTGGCAGATGCACCGTGGGCCAGTCCTTTGCTTTTTCCAGGGCAGCCCCACAGGCCAGATCTAAGTACCCCGCAGACCAGATCCGGCCCCTGGGCCTTGAGTTTGACATCCCAGGTCTATACAGTAACTCTTGGACACAGAGCTTTCATGGAAGATCAATTCTAATTGATAGTTGACATCAATAGTTTTTATCAATACTTGACATCAAGGGATGGTTGCTTCTGGCCCAAGATTGGACTCTAGTTGAATAGAGGAAGTTCAAAAAAACAAGCAGCCACAAAGATTTGCCTAACATTTTAACACTGAAAATACCACTGAACCAAAAGAAATCTGTTTGTTGTTTCTAAAATACTCCTAAACTTCTAAATCACGTAAAACATCTGTGGTTATATGTTAGTGCTGTAATGAGAAGTTAATTCTGTTTTTTTCCTTTTATTTCAAGTTGATCAAAGTGGAGAGAAGAAACGCAAGAAAGGGGCTTCCTTCCAGACAGTGTCATCAATGCATAAAGTAATTTTACATTCACTTTTTAAGTATAACATCTCATTTATTTTCTTTCACTACTGCAGAAATAACATATTCAGATTAAACAGAACAATAATTAAACATTCATTTTACAAGGTTTGAATTTTCAGCATGTTCACTTAGAAAAGGACTACTTCTTAAAATAATTATATGAATACTTAAAGTTCCACAGGATTCATTGTTACTTTTCATGGCAACCGGTGGTTAGATTTCTCAGAATTAGATCAGTGACCAAAGGCACTTCCCAGTCATCTGGATTCTTTTTCAAAGGTAGCTGGCATGTCTGCTTTCTTAAGAGTAATTGGACAGCATTTACCTTTTAGGAGTTCACAATATAATCTGAAATTTTTAAAGCTTTGCTAATATATAATGCTAAACCATAATGTAGGGATTATTAAAATGCAAATCTACTTATGCAACAGGCCATAATTCCTTGTTTAGCAAACTATGGCCCAAAGTCCCTGGTAAATAATACATACTGAGAATCAAAGATTTGGATCTTTGGTTTTGATACTTTACCAGCATAGGTGGCTATTTTCACAGAAGATATGAAAGAACCTTGCTTATGTTCTATATATTAGGTAATATTTTTGCCACTGATAAAATTTGTGACTTAACCCAAATTGTAGAAAATGTGCAATTCTGGATAAAAGTGCAACTTCTGCTTGTCACACTCAAATATATAAATAGAATAACTGCTAAATAATCAAAGATCACACTTTCAAGAGTGTATATTATGTGTTTAATTTTGTTTGTATTTCTTTTCAGTGTTAGCATTTAATACAGAAGATAGGTCTTACTTCAATGTATTTAATTCATTAAAATTATCAGATACCTCTGTTCAGTCAGAATATGTTATAAGAAAAAAAATCTGCAAGATCATTTTGGCCCAGCAGTCCTCAATATGTGGTGTAAAAGAGCAGGAACAGATCTTGCTAGAAAGTCCAGATTGCCTGATTGAACAACAAAAAGATGGTGGGTGGGTAAAACTGACAAATAACTTAGTTTGCTTGTTTAGAATCATAGAATTATAGGGATGGAAAGGAGCTTGGTGGGCTTCTAATCCAATTCTGCTCAAGGCAGGAGACTTCTACTATCCCAAATTGGTTGCTATTTAAACAAATAATAGTTTAGAATAGAATCGAGTTGAACCGGTCCTTGGAGGTCTTCTAATCCAGTCCCCTGCTCAAGGCAGGAGAACCTCTATTATTCCAGATAAGTGGCTGTCTAGTCTCTTCTTAAAAACCTCCAATGATGTAGCATCCATGGTATCTGAAGACAAGCTATTCCACTGGTTAAGTGTCCTCACTGTTAGGAAGTTTCTCCTCAATTCCAGGTTGCTTCTCTCTTTGGTTAGTTTCCAACCATTGTGTCTTGTTTAAAGTTTAAAATTGGATGGTGTGGTGTACACGGTATATAACCTTTTTCCGGAAAAAAGGCTGCATCCAGTCTGTAAATAGTATGTGGAAGATCTTATGCCAGAAGTATTGAGAAAAAAAATTATAAATAGGTAAAAGGGACTAGGACAAAAGTCTTATTTTCATTTCAAAATGTGATTTCATTTCATTTAAATGTGAATACCCAGCTAACAACTTCAGTACCTCATATTTAATATGTTATCCCTTCTGCTAGGCTAACAGTTATAATTTGCATCTCATGATGATTCTGGAATTCTGGGAAGTACACATAGTATTTTTGGAAGTTACAGGCAATTATGAGGCCTCAGGTTGTGTGGCATAAACTAAACACAGTGTAATCCAAGACAGGCATCATAACAATACACTTTCACTTTTAGAAAGCAGATGTTTCTAATTTTCTTCAGTGGAAGAAATGTTATTTGAATACTCAAGCCCAAAACTCACCCAAATTCATTATCATATGATATAACGTTATTATTTAGCATTGTATCTAAATCATAACAAAATAAGAATACTTAACTCTAAGTGAAAACTTGAATAGACAGCAGAGAACTGATGTACGCTTCATTTTAGGACTACAGTTAGTGTCCTATAAAGTTAGTATGGTAATTTATGATGTAACTCTTCCAAAAATAATTGCTTTCTTCAGTAAATTTCCCCACATGACATGGCCAAAGTAAGTGAGATGCAGTTTTGTGATTCAAATGTTTAAATGATTTAAAAGTTTCATGATATAAATGGCAATTTATACTCTCTCTAATTCTATCGTTTATTCTCTGTGTATTTAGGAAAATTTAAACAAATTGATGACTAATTTACGATCTACATCTCCTCACTTTGTGCGATGCATTATTCCCAATGAAACAAAAACTCCAGGTAAAACTCTTAGAATATGTTTTGTTTTTAATACTTAATCTAAGGGTGGGAAAATCTTGCTTTTAAGCATGTGTATATAGGAATGCATTTATTATCCTATCATTTCAGGGGCAATGGATGCTTTCCTTGTCCTCCATCAACTTCGCTGTAATGGTGTTTTGGAAGGAATCCGCATTTGCCGCAAAGGCTTTCCTAATAGAGTGATTTATGCTGACTTTAAACAAAGGTATTGTGAAAACCAATGGCACAGTCAAATTGTTTGATTTGCAGAACTGATATTTGTTCTTTAGTAGCATCTCAGTAGATCTAGTTCTTTTTTTCTGGTCAAACTGTTTTTGAATAAAAAAATAAAATGCAAGATATAGTTTAGAATATACAATGGTTCACATTCAAAGAGGACAAAAGGATGTTTATGATTCCACAGAATGCACTACATATGTAGCACCCATCCAGTGGTGGGATTCAATTTTTTTTTACTACCGTTTCTGTGGGTGTGGCTTGGTGGGCGTGGCAAGGGAAGGATACTGTAAAATCTCCAGTCTTTTGCCAGTTCTCCAAACTACTCAAAATTTCCTCTACTGGTTCTCCAGAACTGGTCAGAACCTGCTGAATACCACCTCTGCACCCATCTCAACTTCCAAAAATAAACACATTTTCCCAGAAAGGCATAAATTTGTGGTTCCTCAGCTTGGCTGCCTTCAAATCTAACAGTTAGAATTTTCAGTCTGCATGGATGGTGGCCCAGAATGAGTTAAACGTTCTGGCTGGTGCAGTTACAGCATCTCCAAAGAGCACCAGATTGAGAAAGATTGATGTAGACATATTTGATTAGATGGACAAAGTGTCTGGGTTCACTAAACATACTTAATCTGGTTACATTTTTGTGTTCGTATAGTAATGAAATCTTAATCATATCCTATGAATTGTCACAATCTGCCAAATCACAAAAAAACTAATCCAGATTAAAACCAATCAAGTTATATACATGTTTTAAATAAATAAATAAGCTTAGTATGCTGTGTAAATAAAGTACTATCTCTACATTTTTTACTGAAGTATTAAGCTTGTTGTGGAAAGGCAGTCACTGTGAGGTATTAGTAGACTTCCTGATTCTTAAATCAAAGAAGGAATTACACCATGATTTGGAGTTTAATTCTTTCTGTCTGTTATTTATTTGCTCTAACCAGATATCGCATCCTGAATCCTTCTGCAATTCCAGAGGACAAGTTTGTGGACAGCAGAAAAGCTGCTGAAAAATTACTGGGTTCTTTGGATATTGATCATAGCCAGTACCGCTTTGGGCACACCAAGGTAAAACAGTTCACGTAATCCAGCAATGGAGAAAATGGAAAGACATGTTCCTAGTTGGTATCTGGATCAAAACTCTTTTAGAATGAAATAACTATTATAAGGGAGAGTTGGAATAACCCTTAATTTATGTTGTTTAATCATGTATCTCCTCATATACAGCCCTATTGATAAGGTCTGTTTGCATTATGTTTGGGCAGAATAGTTTTATCTCAAGAAGGAAAGGAGATATTTAAAATGGATCAACTATAAGATCCATAGCCTTGCTTTCTATAGGTAGACATTGAGATTTCAATTAATTGTATGAATCTTTTAATGCAAAAGAAAAGTTTGATCCTGTGGATTTATAGTCATCCTTGAAATCCTTCTACAGTGCTTTGTCCCCCAACTCTGAAGAAACAGACAACATTTCTCCAATTTTTTTCTAGATTCTCTATTGGCTTCTTTGCACGGTGGAGTAGTTCCATTATAAATAGCTTACCAGAATGCTATTATGGTTCAAATAAAAATAAAGGGAAAAGCATATCTGTGTAATTTGGGTCCAAATGTTTTACTGTATCCAGGCTGGCAATAAATACATAAAGGGAGAAGCATTTATGTAGTGCCTTGGTTAAGGATCAGCTACATTCGGGTCCAAATGGTGTTATTATATCTGGGCTGCAAATCAGTCAGCGTTCATATATTTGAAAAAGACCATTTTTAATATCAACTGAGACCATTTCTCCACTAGTAATATAGAAAATCTTCTAGCATTACCTGGCCATAGTAATGATATAAAACCTGCCTTTTTTCTTATATGGCACAATGGTAGTTGAATTACTGTAGAAGCCTTTATAAATCACTAACAGAAATCCAGCCTTAAGTTTCATTTAAAACTCCTGCTGGTTGCCAACCTGATATTCATACAGATATGCAAAATGTTGTAATATTTATTCCCATTTAAATTTCCTAAATGTCAATTAAAACTTGAGCAGGATGCTTTTAAAACTTTCAAAAGCTTTTCTTTTTCAATGACAGAGTCTATTTGTTTATTGTATATATGGAATGTGACAGGAAATCAAAGTAGCAAATAACCTTTGGGTTTATATTTATATTAGTTTCCTTGCCTCAAATAAAGTACTGAAAGATAATTTCAATTATACCTGATACTGTCTTTGATACTTTGATACTTCTGATATATTTGATACTGTCAAATATTAGATGGGCCATCCTCAGTCCTGAGCCCCGAGCTTTCCAATGATTGCCTTTTCCTTGCACCAAAGCCAAAAGATTAACAACCTATCCATTTGTCAAAGAACCACAGTGGAAGAAAGATAGTGGCTATTATTACTTGCCTTTGTGCCCATATAGCACTTGTGAAATCTAGCACTTTCTCTTCCTTCATGAATCTACCTCCTCTCCTGCTTACACCTACCTCTCTACTTAACACATAGCTTTAAACATACTGCTAGCCTAGAAGAGCAGGTAATTATTAATTTGCTGCTGCTCCTGTCAACTGTAGTTTAGCTGGCATATTTTAATTAAGTTCCAGAAGAGATGAGCTTTTGCATTAGAATAAAAAAAATCCATGACTTAGCTTTCCTCCTTCTAATATATTCATTTTTAGAAATTATATTACATCCTTCATAGAATCCTAGAGTTGGAAGGGAAAAGCTGCTGTGTTGCATGTGTACTACCCAGAAGAAGATATATTTTCATTGCTAGATTGTCTGGCCTTCTACATTGCAGAATATGGCTCAGTGACTAGATAAATTTCATTTAGCAATGAGATATTATGTTTACAATTATTTGATTATACACATTGTTATTATATTTACACTTATTTGTATATACACATACATATAACTTTGCTTCTGTAAGTAGTTGTAAGAGTAAGCAGCACAGTAAGCAATCTGTCACTATGTGTCTTAGTTTCAGTCCCAATTCTAAACCAATTTTAACAGTTTTATTACATCTGTACACCTAAGATTGCTGCTGCAGTATTCTCAGCCTTCTGTTCTCAATCTCCTTAGGGTCATCAACATCTTTTCTAGCCTCCAATTTCTAGCCCCCAATCATTTTACTACCTTTCTTTGAACTTATTCCAAGTGAACGATAATGAAAGCGATAATATGGAACTATTATATCATGTGTTTTGGAGATCTTACTTCTTTTGATACAGCCTAAATTTGCAACTTCCTTCCTTCGTCCCTTCAATTTTCTTAGTAAGCTTTTTCAGAAGTAGTTTGTCACTGCCCCCTTCCTAGGGCTGAGAGAAAGTGACTAGGCAAGATCACTCACAGTCTCTCAGTTTCTAGCCTGATGGTTAACTACTACATCAAATAAATTCTGTTTTAAGATATTTTTCAGGAAAAATATTATAAGCCAGATATGTCTCATCCAAAAGCTGTACAATTATTTTTTTCTTTCCAAAGTGAGTTTTTCATTTGTGTCTTAAATTTATTATTTTACTTGCAGCCTATTTCTCTCTGAATATCATTTTAGTTTATTATAATAAATAATATCTATCCCATTCAATTTTCTGCCATCTGCAAATTTGATAAACATTTCTCCATTTCTATATCTAAATCATTTGTAAAAATATTGAAGAATTGAGGACCAAGTCCTGAGTTATCTTATTCTTTTTTTTTTGAAATAAATTTTATTGAATTTACAATTAAAAACATATCGACAATACATACAGGAAAAAAAAAAGAACATCTGGGCTAGCAAACCGGAGAAAGAAGAGAGTAAAGGGTGTAGAAGAAAAAAGAGGGAAAGAAACGAGTAAGAGATGAAAGGGATACTACTAAAAGCAAACAGTATCTTTTTTGACAGTCTGTAAGATCCATTTCATCTAAATTAATTCAAATACGCTCATCTCGTCTACTATACTTAAATTGCCCTTTATCTTTTAGTCCGTTTATCTCTGGCTTAACCAATTGTACCAAGAATTCCAATTATTATAGAATGTTGAGGACTCTTTGTTTTTTAAGGCTACCGTCAGTTTGTCCATTTCTGCACATTCACATATTTTCTGAATTACCATTTGTTCTGTAGGAGTATACGGTGATTTCCAGCACTGAGCAAATGCTAATCTAGCCGCCGTTAAAATATGAATTGTTACATATTTCATCTTTTTGGATAAATGTTTGTCAGAGATCCCTAGTAGGAAGAACTCTGGTTTATATTCTATTTGTTCTTTAGTTATCTCCTCCAACCATTTTCTAATTTTTTGCCAATATCTCTGGGTTTCTTTGCAGGACCACCACATGTGAAAAAAGGTTCCTTCTGAGCTTTTACACTTCCAACATTTTGGGCTTGTGTTAGGGTTCATTTTCGCCAGTCTCGAAGGGGGCAAGTGCCATCTGTAAAACATTTTATATGTGTTTTCTTTGTACGCTGCCGATTTTGTAATCTTAATATTCCTGTTCCAAATCCTTTCCCATTCTGATAATGTGATATTTCTTCCAACATTCCTGCTCCAGGCTAACATATTCCCTTTGACTATCTCTTGCTCTAGTTCTACTTCCAATAAATATTTATAAAATTTAGATATGTTCTTTTTGTTTGGTCCTAATAAAATTTTATCTAAGTGCTGCAGTTTGCTATTAATTCCAAAATCTTTCATGTCTTGTTTGTATCTGCTATAAATTTGCATATATAACCACTGATCTATTTTGAATCCCTGTTCCTGTAATTCTTGTCGAGTTTTTAATTTTCCTAGCGGATCTAGTAAATCTTTATATTTGATCATTTTTGTTATGTCCAAATTATTGGGACGTACCATTGCCTCCATTGTTAATAGCCAGATCGGAATTTTTAGATAGTGTTTTTTACAATTTTTTTTCCAATTAGTTAATAATGAGTCCCTAATAAGGTGTCTGTGAAAGTAAGACTGCTTAGGTTTCCCCACTTCCCATAAGAAGGCATGCCAGCCTCTCTGGAGATCATACCCTTCTAGAGCTAAAGTTATTTTATTAAGTAGGTTCACCCAATCTTTTAACCATAATAAAATAGCTGCCAAATAATATAATTCCCAATTTGGAAGAGCTAGACCCCCTCTGCTTTTCGAATCTTGTAAGGCCTTGACATTGATCCTGGCTTTTTTCTCCTGCCAAATAAATTTGAGTGTTGTCTTGTTTAATTCTTCGAAAAAAATTTTGGGTAACTTAATTGGGATTGTCTGAAATAAATAAAGAAATTTTGGTAATATGTTCATTTTAATCGAGGCAATCCTGCCCAATAGAGAAAGCTGCAGCTTATTCCAAGATTCCAAGTCTTTCTTTTTTTGTTGAAGTAATTTATCATAATTGTTCTCCTTGAGTGATTTACCTTGTGGTGTTAGCCATATTCCTAAGTATTTGACCCTTTTTGTTACTTGTATCCCCATCATTGTTTCTAATTCTTCCTTCTGAGTTTCTGTTAAATTTTTGGTCATTAATTTTGTCTTTTTTCTATTAATTTTTAAACCTGCCACAATGCCAAATTGTTCTAATTCCTTTATTAGATTATATCCTTTTTCCATAGGTCCCTCCAGAAAAAAGACCATATCATCAGCAAACGCTTGTAATTTATATTCTTCTGATTTGACTCTCCTTTAATTTCAGGATTTTGTCTAATACGCATTAAAAGTGATTCTAGGGCAAATATAAAAAGGAGAGGAGAAAGAGGGCAGCCCTGTCTAACCCCTTTTTCTATATTAATTGGACCTGTTTGTTCGCCATTGATTAGTATGTTAGCCTGTTGTGTATAATAAATTGTTGTTATAATGTTTTCAAATTTAGTACCGAGACTCATATTGTAAATTTTTTGAATTAGAAAGTGCCAATTTAAGTTGTCAAATGCTTTCTCGGCATCTAAAAACATCAGTGCGAATTGTTTTTCAGGATGGGCTTCATAATATTCTAAAACGTCGATGACAGTTCCTAAGTTGTTCTTTATTTGACGGGACGGAAGAAATCCATTTTGATCTTCGTGGTTATATGGGTTTAAAACTTGTTTTACTCTATTTGCTATAATCGAAGTGAATAATTTGTAGTCGGCATTTAAAAGTGAAATCGGTCTATAATTGTTAATGTATCTATGATCTGCATCCTCCTTTGGGATTAGCGAAATCAACGCCCCCCCTCCACGAGTGTGGCATCTTAGCTAGCAGAAGTACCTCATTAAACACCTCCAGCATCAGTGGTCCTACTAGTTCCATTATAGCTTTATATAGTTCTGCCGGAATCCCATCTGGTCCTGGAGATTTGTTATTGCTTTGATTCTCCATTGCTGACTTCAGTTCAGACCAAGTGATATCTTTATTTAATAATTCTATCCCTTCCTCTCTGATTGCTTTATCATTCATATCCTCTAAGTAGGTTCTTATTTTATCTTCATTCACTTCTTCCTTTTTATATAATCTTTGAAAATAATTGTAAATAATATCTTTTTTCTTCTCTATTTCATGTTGTAAGACACTTTTCTCATCCATTAGTTGATATATCAATCTCTTTTCTTTCTCTTTTTTAAGTTTATGGGATAGCCATCTTCCTGGTTTATTTGCATACTCAAAATAGGTTTGTTTGGACATTTTCAATTTAACTTCTATTTTGTCTTGTTCAAGTAAGTTCAACTTATGTTTAATTGTTATTAACTGATTTTGAATTCTCTGATTTTTAGGAGTTTCTTATAGTTGTGTTTCTAATTCTTTAATTTGTTGTTGTAATTCATTTTGTTGGGCATGTGTTCTTTTATTTCTCATGGCATTATAAGATATTGTTTTCTCCATTTCTATATCTAAATCATTTGTAAAAATATTGAAGAATTGAGGACCGAGTCCTGAGTTATCTTATTCAAGGCCTCAATGCCCAGTCCATCTTCAAGAAAACTTTGTCTGTGGTCCCAGAATCCAAATCTCTCCTATATAGTCACAATTTCCATGTCATAGTTTATTTATAATATTTGCATTTTCCTTCCCCTGTCTTTTTCACAGCCTGGAAAAGTAGAATGGAATACTGTTTGAATCCTCAGTGTCACTTTTTTAAAATGTCTGCTGAAAATTAAGTAGTGATTTTTTAAAAATTGGACCTATCATTAGGACTAAATGGCAATTTTTTATAAGGAAAAAGCCTAATGGAAAATATACATTCTAAGCTCTATAGTATTTGCTTTTACAATTTTTAATTTAAAGAAAAATGAAATACATTTTTATATTTCAAGAGTCAATAGTAATTCCAATTATTTAATTAACCACCTTATACAATATCTAAAGCAGCATTAAGATTTCACACTCTACTATTTTTATCTTGCTATTGCAATGTGCTGATACAACTATTATTATGCCCTTACACTGTTGTGCTTTGTTACATGTCTGAAACTGATTTATGTGTCACCAATAACAATTGATTAAATTTATTTGACAAACTGATGGCATGTATTTCAGGTTTTTTTTAAAGCTGGTCTCCTAGGCCATCTGGAAGAGATGAGAGATGAGAGATTAGCCAAGATTTTAACACTAATTCAAGCAAGAGCCCGAGGCAAACTGATGCGCACTGAGTTCCAGAAGATGGTAGAACGAAGGTATTATGCTACATACTCTTCATGACACTGTATACTGGGGTCAAATCATTACTTCTTTTTTTCCCCAAGTGATTATATTATATAGCAATTTTCCTCAGCCTAGCATCATCCAGATAATGCAGTTTACAAATTTACCAGCTAGCATTACTTTCACCATGAGGACTAGGAATTTGTAGACTAAAACAATGGTCGCCAACCAATGGGCTGGGGACCACTGGTGGTCCATGAGAAAATTTTGGTGGTCTGCAGAGAAATGTCACCCCCAAAGCACCCCCAAAAATAATTAATCCAGGCTGCACAGGAACACAAGGCTGTGCTGTCCACATGGGCCTGGGAACACAAGGCTTGTGTGGCTTGCATTGCAAACAACATGAGGTAGCGAGGGGAGGATGGAAGGAACAGAGTGGGGGAACTTGCCCCACTCACCCCACGAGCCTGGCCTGGCCATGGGCTCCTTCTTTCTGCTTCTTTCTTCTGCTTTTGGCTGCACACAAGGAAAGCAGCAAAAGTGTTTCTTTCTCTCCCACAAACTGCCAGAAATGAGTCTTTGGGATCCTGCAAGGCATCCTGCTTCAAGAGGCTGCGCCAGCACGACAAGTCTTATAAAGACTCATTTCTGGCAGAGTTTGGGGGAGAAAGTCTTCTGCTGCTTTCCTTGCATGAAGCCAAAAGTCTCTCTCTCTCCCCCTGAGAACAGAGCAAGGAAAGGTATCCTACAATCCCTAATAAAGAATGATCAATCGGTAGGAAAACGGGATGGGGAATTTTCCTGCAGACTTTTTTTGAGATTTTCCCAGGGTGTCTGGTCCACGGGATTTAAAATTATGAGTTTGGTGGTCCCTGAGGTCCAAAAGGTTGGCAACTCCTGGTCTAAAATTACATACTGTATGTGAAGGAACTAGCTTGAGGAAGCAGTAGAAATTTGATTTATGTAAAGGAACTTCGAAGTAGTTCATATAATATCTGATATTTCACAATTGTGAATAATGCCATGAAATGCCAGAAAAAATGTATTCTTTTTTTTCTTTCTTTCTCCATATTATTATGTTATGCAAACAAGGTTATTTTTATGCTGACTCGGAGCTGAATAAGATTTTTTTTCCCCACTTCTATTTCTGTAGTGGCATGTTCTAGCTAATTTTTTTTCTTCCTGTGCTCCACTCATGAAATCCAGAAAGCCTTAAGTCATCCTTAGTTACAGCATTGATAATGTAACCTCTCCTCCATTATTCTAACATTATCCAAGGACAACCTCAAGGTATATAAAACCTGTCAGGCTTTTCCGTGACTGACTATGGTGGGAAGTAAGATAACTGCAGTAACTTGAAACATTGGCAATAAGGGCAAGATAATGACTGGCAATAGGCATACCAAATATCTGCCTCAGATAACCGCCAGGAGTCATTTGTTGTGGAATGACACACTAAACAAAAAATTACATGGATTCAAGGATAGGTTTACAGCACTATAATTCAGCAGTGGAGAAAGACCTAAATTTAGATCACTAAGAAGGAAAAATGGCTGCAGTTTTTCAAGAGAACTTGATCCTTTTGTTTCATATAAGTAAAGGCTCATAACTTCTTGTTTTCTAATTTCAAAATGTACTTACACAATATGAATAAAAACAACAGATAGACATAGTAATGGTAACTGTCACAGCTGTTTCTGATACGGTGCAAAAAATAGATAGCTGTACATATTGCTTTGAAAATGCAAAAGAAATGTAGAAATGATGTACACAAATGAAGCATAAAATCTAGAAATAGGAATTATTAAAATATGTAGCATCACTATAGTATTTAGTACATAAAAGAAAACAAATTATTACAAAGACCTAAGATCATGAGGGAAGATCCAAGTACTTGTACTAAAATTAGTTCTATTTCAGATAACTTAAGACTTCCTTCCTTCCTTCCTTCCTTCCTTCCTTCCTTCCCCCCTCCCTTCAGAGATGCCCTCCTTGTGATCCAGTGGAACATTCGAGCTTTCATGGTTGTGAAAAATTGGCCTTGGATGAAGCTATTCTTTAAGATCAAACCCCTCCTAAAATCAGCAGAGACTGAAAAAGAAATGGCTAATATGAAAGAAGAGTTCCTGAAATTGAAGGAGGCCTTAGAAAAATCAGAAGCCAGAAGGAAGGAGCTTGAAGAAAAACAAGTTTCTCTTGTACAGGAGAAGAATGACCTTCTTCTCCAGCTGCAAGCAGTAAGTAGATTAAAATATCAGTGTTAATTAATCCAACCCAAACTTTGGTCCAGCACAGGAAGCTTGCTGTGAAACTGGTCCTGCTAAGTACAAACAGTGAAATCCAGGGGCACATAAAACAGCATCCATTTAATTCTAGCATAAGCTTTTAATATTTTCAATTCTTAACTTACTAAAAAGTCCCCTTCCTTTCTTTGAGTACTTTGTATATAACATTTAATTACATAAAGAATCATAAAGAAAGAATAGATAAATAGAATCGGACTTGCTAAAAATGATTGAAACATTCTTCATCTTACAAAAAATAAAATTGATAGGTACTAAAGTTGTTCACAAAAATGTTTGACTGTCAGACATTTTGCAGCAAGAGAAAATTGGAATGAAGAGTATGGTTTTTGTTTTTAAAAAAGAAATGCCTGAGATCAAATCAAATCTTTTATTATTATTTGTTACACTTGCTGCTGGGCAATATGGCTCCCCAAAGTTTATAGCTCAAGGAGAAGAATTTTCTTTCCATTGATAAAATGCTGCTATAAGAAAGTTGGTAAAAAAAAAATCTTCTATTACTAGAGAATAGTCAATTTCCAAAAGTAAACAAGCGTTGGAAGAAATATCCTTCTGAGTTTAGTTCCAAATGGGGAAAAAGACACTGGAAACATGGAGGCTGTTTGGAAAGATGGTTTAATGGTGGACAGGATCACATGCCTTGGAGCTCTTGGGTGAAGAAAAAGGGACAGAGATGCTGAAAGTACCTGGGTTTTATGCCCTCTGTTGGGCTTTGAATTTGAGCTTGGGTTCTGATTGGTTTTCAGACTCCCGTGGGGCCATGCAGGGGCAACTCTGTAGGCTGTCCTGAGTCCCAGGCTTGGTTGAGCCTTGCTGGATGATGATGTAATGAAAGGGCTTTGGGATTCCCATTATGGGTCTGCCTGAAGAGGGTAGATCTTTGTTATGTAGAATAGACTGGCCCGGGCCTTAATGGCCCATTAGCAAAGGTGGGGGAGCTAAGTTTCTGCCTCTCTGAGTTTCTACTTCTCTTTTAGAGGAAATATTCTGCCTTTTTAATATGTACTAAAATATTTCATTTCTCTAGGAGAGGGTGGGTTTTAACTTCCAACACAAGTAATAATTCTGCATTTTTCTTTTTAAAGCAAAAGCATAGATTGAACAAATAATATAAATCTATATAAGAAGGATATACAAATTTCAAAGGAGAAACATATTAAAAAACATAAAAATTAATAAGAGGCATATTATAAATCTTTTACTGTATAAAATGGGGGGATTTTTTTTTAGTTTATCATATTTTGCAAGTGTTCTTCACAATAAATTTACCTTGCTTTATTTTTAAAAAATAAATATGAAAAAGCAGAAAAACAACAGCCAGTTTCAATAATTTGTTCAACTAAGGATGGCAGCCTTCATTTTGCTCTGCATTAGTTAACATTACTTTACATGTAAATACATGAAGTGTAAAACTTTAAACGCTTGGATATAAATACGAATGTTTTTATACATATTTCAGTCTCAGAATCAGTTTCCATGGCAAATCAACAAAGAAACAGAATGTTAAACTTGGGATATGTACTGTAGCATTTTATATACAATTTATTGGTGGACTTTTGCATTGGCAAAGAAAAAAAAATGCATATTTTAAGTGTTTGTTATATTGAACTTATATCTCAATTGACTGATTATTCTATTTATTTATATGAAGCAATTTAAACCACATACTTTTTTACTTCATTAATCCTTTGCGATGTTATTATATTTATTTGAAAGATGACTAATTTTGGTTGAGATATCATAGAAGCTGAAATATTGTACTGGTCATTTGCTCAAGGATCACTGAAAAAAGGGTTGTAAAATCCAGTTGGGCCTGTGGGTAACCTGCTTTATGACCATAATGACTTACATTAGTGATGGACAGGCTCCATTGTAGTCATAACTTGAGGACTATCTGTATTCATCCAAGAATAAATAGTGATGAAAGTGGACTTACTTTTATGATATATGTATAGGATTCAGAAATAAAAATGGTAGTTCTAGGTGGTTTTTTTTAATTAAAAAAAGCTTCCTTTTGGAATAATCTAAATTTACCACATCTGGTGATAAATGTGTTAAATTTAGATGTAATAAATTTATATTATTCCAAAAGGAAGCTTTAAAAATCCACAATAAATGGAGCTGTCACTTGCAATTAGAATTGAAAGTTTATTTAGTTATTATTTATTTATAAAATTACTTCTATGGTGCCAATCTCACACATGAATCTCTAGTTGCTGACAACACATTTAGAAACAGTACAACCCCCCCCCCCATCAACAAAAGAGCTGTATGTCTGATTATTTTGTGCCAGTTTACTGTTAAATCTAGTGACTACATACAGTATATAGATCATCTGTAGGATGATCTGACCCCAAGCTTGTTCTGTCGGTCTTTTAATGGTGCACACATTGCTACTGTAACTGAATCTTGTAAACTTACTGCTGGTTGTTCTTTTTGTTGTTGTTGTTGTTATTTTCACATTTTCTAGATTTCTCTAGAGAGCTGGGTGTTCACATACTGTCCAGAGTATGATATTTTGCACTTGGTTATTTCTGTCTCAGTGAGAACTTTGAGTTAATGTATTTGATGATTCATTTGCTTTCTTGGCTATCCACAATACCCCAGGAAGTCTGTTACAACTACTTTGATTCCAAACTATCAATACTTTTTCTATCCTAGTTTTTCAAAGTCCATCTTTCACTACCGTAAAATATCACATGGAAACCATTCCTTACACGATTCTGATCTTTGTAGGTACAGAAACATGACAGCATTTGAAAATCTTTTTTGAAGTCTTCATTGTGAACCTACCAAGTACAAGTCTGTAGCATATTGTCTGACTCCTGGTTTCTTTATTGCAGAGTAATCTTGAAAAGCAGAATCTAGACACTATTTCAATATTTTCATTGTATAAGTTGCTGAACAGTAATTTTGTATTCTTTCTGCCTACTCTTAGTCCCATTTTTCAGTGAAGTCTTTGGTTTTTATTACTAGAACTTCCATATAATTCCTCTAAAATCAAAGAATGTGTCCCCTTAATGCCAATTTCAATGTAAAAGTGGTGGAAGAGATCCATTGTCCATCTATCATGCCTAAAACTTCAACAATGTGCCGGTGACATAGATTGCTAAGACTAAATAAACCACAAAAACTGAAAGTTTAAACAAGTTTAATTTTGACCACACAAAACCATATAGTCTAGTCCTTTCACTGTGTTAATAAAGAGCCAGTTTAAAAGCCAGGTGTGAATACTTTTCATCTATCCAGACCTTGGTATCTGCTGCTTAATATTTTTCCAAGAACTCAAAACAATGTTGTTTTTGCAATAATCCCTTGCATCTAGCATGGGTTTAGAGTAGCATTTAGTCTAGATTCCAATTTTGTGGCTTAATACTGAAATGTATAGTTGATGATTGGTTACCTAAATAGGTTTTCTTAAGCCATTAATACAAGTCTCTATGTGTTTTTATAGTTGATGATTGGTTACCTAAATAGGTTTTCTTAAGCCATTAATACAAGTCTCTGCAAATTCTGACAGGAGCAAGATACCCTTGCAGATGCAGAAGAACGATGTGATTTACTGATTAAATCTAAGATCCAGCTGGAAGCCAAAGTTAAAGAACTGACTGAACGGGTAGAAGATGAAGAAGAGATGAACTCTGAGTTGACATCAAAGAAGAGAAAGCTGGAAGATGAATGTTCAGAGCTGAAGAAAGATATTGATGACCTTGAAATTACTTTGGCAAAAGTTGAGAAAGAAAAACATGCTACAGAAAATAAGGTACTTTTAATATTTTTTAAAAAAATCAACCTGGTCTAATTGTATAATGATTTTAAAAATGGGTTAAATTTTACATTTTGGAATGAAATCATTCCTAACTTCACTAATATGCTTGAACAATCAAGAAAGGAATATTTGGATTGTGATGGATAGCTTAATGAAAATGTCAGGCAAATGTTGATCCCTTTGAAAAAAAGTGAATTTAGGAGTAAAATGAATCAAAAATAAAATGCCCACAGTTTGAACTATGCTTCAGAAAGCTGTATTTTCTCAGTGGGAAAAGGTTACAACAGTTGGAGATTTAAGACCAGAAAAAGAAAAAGGCAATAGTAGGGGGACTAATGCAATAGCATAACTTCGTAATATTGTACATGGTGTAAAAGTAGACAGAGAAACATTAAATCTCCACTGTCCAGTGAAATTGAATACTGTAGATGTTTTTGATGACATATAGACATTGGTTACAGATTTTGCTAACTCAAGGTCTAATAATTTTTCAGGAAAAAGATATAGATGGGCAGAATCTATATAAATTACATTATTTCCTCCTCTTATTTTGTCATCCTGATATCTATGCCTATAGAAACTATCTATGATTCTGTTATTTCCTCATAGCATTCACTTGAACAAATGCAGTACCTGACTATTTGTTACACACACAAATGGGGACACACACACACACAAACATTTATTTCATTATGGAACCTAAAATAATGTACATAAGATTTTCCATGCACAGACTCTTCTCTCCAGGTATTGGCCACATCCACAGTTGCTTGGAGGATACATTATATGCTATGATATCTTGAGTGTTGAAAATTGTTGTGCAGGTTATTTTGAACAAAATATTTTATTACCTAGATACGGAACTGTCTCTGCTCCAATACTCTAAGCCCAGTTTTTTCAAACTGTGTTCTTCACTGTAAAATTTTGATAAGAGTTCCAAGAGAAGGTAATGCTCAATTAAACATAAACTGTTTTGGATCACTAGAGCTTTTTCCTTGATAAGGAGTTCTGGAATATTTTTTAAAATAGGTTTTGCAACTGAAAATCCTTCATCTAAGGTATTTTGCTTCCTTTTTTATATGAGGGCATGTCTATGATTCAATTTACATGAGGGCATACTCAAAAGAGGAGCAGCTTTCTTTGTTTTGTATGAATCAGAAGTACATTGTTTTTCACAAATAAGGATCAAAATGCATTTGAACTGCATTGACTCTGCAAATACTTCTTGACTTTTGTACTTACTTCCATTTCATTTTTCAGGTTAAAAACCTAACAGAAGAAATGGCAGCACTGGATGAAACTATCAGCAAACTTACGAAAGAAAAGAAATCTTTACAGGAAGCTCATCAACAGGCCTTAGATGACCTGCAAGTGGAAGAGGATAAAGTCAATACTCTGAGCAAGGCTAAAGTAAAACTGGAGCAACAAGTTGATGATGTATGTTTGCTTTGTTGTTGATTTGCTTAGGTAAACCTTATGCAACTAGTGCCTGTAGATCCAATGGAGTACAACTCTCATTATTGCTATATTGTCATATTGACCTGGAATGGTGAGATCTTTTATCCAATAGTTCTTGGAGTCAACTGAATAAAATTGGGCTTTTTAATTGATTGTCTGGGTGTTTGATGAGTAATAGTTTTGATTTTCTTACCATAGATTTCAGACCCATTCTTTGCCATGAGAAAAATGAATTAAAGTAAACCAGTAAGTTTTTCAACAACACTGGCCTAATGTGAAGCATGAACATATGTGTTGGTTCAATGGACACATCAGGCTTAGCCAGAAGTGATGGTTTACAAACTATCATGGCTAGATTCATAAAGTATGCTAAACAAAACCAAGTAATCCACATTATGTCTCATCATGATGTATGATTTTTCTATACTTTATTATAACTTATGCAACTAAATGTAAGATACTGTCAGAATTCATACCCCTTGAAGCCTTGATCTATAGAGTGTTCTCTTCCACCTTTTTATATCTGTAGCTTGAAGGTTCTCTAGAACAAGAAAAGAAAGTGAGGATGGATCTGGAAAGAGCCAAACGAAAACTGGAAGGAGACTTGAAATTGACTCAAGAAAGTGTCATGGATTTAGAGAATGATAAACTGCAACTGGAAGAAAAATTAAAGAAGTAAGGTTATTTATGGTTTTTAATAATTCAGTTTGTTATGGTAACATAGATAAAGGCAAGCTAATGCCTTCAATCACAATTTCCCCAATTATTTATTCGTCACAATTTGCCATGCTGGATGAGACAGATGGAAGTTGAAGTCCAAAATATCTAGAAGGGACATGCTTTTTGGTATAAGCAATTTTGGGTGCCCTTCATATTCAGTTCTAAACATGGAAACTAACTACCAACTATGTGAAAATAAATCCACGTACTTAGACTTACAATATAAACTGCTGAGTACTTGGAGATTCCCTGCATTTTTTGATCCAGGGAAAGCAGCCAAAACCTGAAGGTTTGTCAGTCCCCTGAGGTTTTGTCATATGTGCCTGGTGGGTATGTTTGATTAGTAAGTCACAACTTGCACATAACAGAAGTGGATAGCTTGGAAAGGAAGGATAGAGAATTGATAGCTAATAAGATTTTTGAAAGGAAAGGTCGGGGGAATATTCCTACCTAAAAAGTTACCTTGGGAGCTTTTGAATTTTACACCTCAATAATAAGAGGCAGCAAAATAAAACAAAGCTTCTGTGTTGTAGGATTCTGTTTTTATTTTCCTCCCCTGATCTGCTGGCGTTCCTTTTATTAGAGCAAATTGGGTTTGGCAGCAGATCAAAATGTAGCACGAAGTACACTCACCAACTTCACCCAATATCAGAGTTATTAAAAGTACAATATCCATGGATTGCTTAGTTTGCAAATCAAGAAATAAGATAACATTTTTAAAAAATTTGCATTAACAACTAGGTTTTTAAAAAAAAAATCTTGATAAATAGCAGTCATGGTGGCCATTACTCCTGAAACTGCATTTCTGCTTAGAAAGCAATAAGGCCATTCTGATTAATTGTCTTATATTCCACCACATCTAAACATCTATTTCATTAACAGGAAAGAATTTGAAATCAGTCAAATGAACTCTAAGATTGAAGATGAACAGGTCATAGTGATGCAGCTCCAAAAAAAGATAAAAGAGCTTCAGGTAAATAATGAGTGATTCTTACTTTTCCTCCATTTGAGCTGGTAATTATTTATGATTTATAAATCAAAAGTAAATTTTAGTGGCTTACACTTAAAACCAAAGTGCATTACACACACAAAAATAACCTGTGCCAATGGAACAAATATGCAATAATGAACATTATTATTGTTGCTGTTATTTCTTAAATTATACACTGCTATACCCCAAAATCTCTTATTTGTAAAGGTCAACCCAAGTAGATGCCTCAATAATTGGGTGAGCAGGCAGGAAACATGACAGAAAAGACTCAAGATTCGATTCTAGTCACTTCAGATGCCTAGAATATTTTTCACTTTAAACAGGGCTGGTGATAAGCTATCTGATAAGAATATAATCCCTAATATAGGCTCTTATGCACATTTGATTGGATTCATTCTTCATCTTCCTTGGAAAATAATGGTCCTCACAGTTTGGGATCAAAATGGTATATCTTAATATAGTTTCTGAACAGCTTTAGTACCATTCAGTCTGAATTTCTGGCAATTAGAGACATCCATGTATGAAAAGTTTTGCTTGATGTCATTGGATTCCACAGAAAACATCCAGATCACATTCTCCACTCTAGTGCTGCTTCATAAATTGGGAGTCCAATTAATATAATTTGCAAAATTTATACTGTTTAAAAATCCATGTCCTGTTGTTAGTCTAGATAATGCTTCTCCATGTGTTGTCTTCCCACAGCTAGAGGTTCCAACTACTACTTCACGAGTACATATACTTTTCTTTTAAACTCATCTAATGTTGAAAGGAGTTTTGGATTTAATATGATTTAGACTCCTTCTTTTAATTCACTTTCTCTTCCTCTTTCTTTAGGGAGGATTTAATGATTAAATTATAATGATATACATAAAAATATCTAGGTAATTAAATAAGAAGGTTGCACCTTCAGAATGCTGGCAGGCCTTATATAGTCATTTCTACAGCCTGATTATAAATGCAAATCAGAATCAGTTATCATTTCCTATGCCCAACATACATCCCTTCATCCACAGTTTAAACAAAAATGATAGATGTGGTATAAATGATACCCATGACTGGTGAGTCCACATCCAATTCATCATTTCAGACCTTTAGAATAGGAGATGCAAACTGGAGCCACAGCTCTCCCATTTTTTGTTTTCCAGAGAGTTTCTTCTGATTTTATGATTTTCTGCCTTTTTGGAACAGGAAATTCATTAATACTCTATGTTAAGTAGCTATTTTGGAGAGAAAGTCCTCCAAATACTTTTCCTGATCCCAGGAAATCAGAAATTATAGCTTGTCCATTTATATAATGTGCAACTCTGGGTTCCTCACAGATATAAGAATGATGGAGCTATCCATCATTCTGGCTTTAAAAGAAGTGCTCTTCACTTCTTGTGAGGAGAATGAGAACAATACTCATTCCCTCCACAGTATGTATACCCAGGGGTGGGATTCTACGCCTTCGCACCTATTCGCTAGAACCGGTTGTTAACATTCTAAGCAGTTCACAGAACCAGTTGTTAGAAGAAATTACTGGCCTAATCCTGTAAGGAAGGCAGAAACTGCCTCTCTGTTAACCCTTATTACATTCTTGGCAGGACTAGACTTCCTGTCTCAGGAACTTCTCTGGAGCCTTTTCACCTTCTTTGCTGATACTTTGCTGTGTGGAGTGATCATTCAAAGTTACAATGGCACTGAAAAAAGTGACTTATGTGCCTTGATGTGAGTGATGTTGAGTTGGCCACGCCCATCCAGTCACATTACCACCAAGCCACGCCCACCAATTAAGCCACACCCACAGAACCGGTTGTTTAAAAAAAATGAATCTCACCCCTGCGTATACCTATATACACCCTCTCCA